CTTTAGCAAAGGAAAACCAGTCTCCTCTTGGCTTATATCGAAATCCTCCGACATTCTTCTTTACAAATCCTCGTTTTGTACTTCTAATTAGTGACTGTTGTTTTGTTTTGATCTCTCCCCCGCGCTTCCGTGTACGTCACTTCTGAGCGGCGCATGCACAAAGCCGACCTCATACATCATCCGCCTGGAGCTACTTCCGTGTACAACAGTGAGTGCAAGCTATATTAAAGTGATTATTACGTTTTGAATATGGATATTTTTCTTACAAAAATGCCTTGATTCGCTACAGAAGGCCTTTGTTCACCCCCCGGAGCCGTGTTAGACACTTTTTTTTATGGATGGGCGCTTTTTATTGAACTTCTTTTGGACTGATGCATGCAAATTATCGCTTAATATAACTCTGACTGGATTCGTCTGAAATAAGAAAGTCATATACACCTAGGATGACTTGAGGGTGAGTAATTTATGGGCTAATTTTCATTTTTGGGTGAACTATCCCTTTAAGCATAAGAGACTTTCAAAAACATAAAATAATCTTGCCAATCCCAAACTTTTGAACAGTAATATATACATACATATAGTATGTATATTCATGAAAAAAAATACATTTACAGACCAATCCAAACACGTAATGCTCAATCTTACATAAACCTCTTTGATTGTGCCAATGTGACATGGTAGATCTGATAGTGAACACGCACAGATGGACATACTAAATTCAAAAGCCTTTTTGCTTTGGTTTTGGTGACACCAATGTATGCCAGTCTGCATGTCATAACAGAGCAAAGTGGTGAGCGCTTGCATCATCCAGGGCTCGCACAGGAAGGAGGAGGAGGATGATCTGAGGTTGTTTGATGTTTAATTAGTAAAGCGCTGACAGAGTGTAACATGCAATGCTGAGTTCTTCTTTTCTCTCCTCTCCCTCTAATAAGTGAAGCCTCCATGAAGCTTAATGTGAGCAGACATGCATTTCAAAAATGGAAAGCACTGGAAAGAGATGAGAGGAAGGGGAAGACCAAGAAGATGCCTAAGGGAAAGGTTAAAAAGTACAGGAGATTTCTCACTCCTTAAGCATCTTCATGAAGGTGTTTTCTAAGGCTTAGGGGCAACCTAAACTGCCGTACTGAATGTGAGCCACAGTACTATGATAAATGTGACTCATCTGCTGAAATGGCCAGCATATGTTGTGATTTGGATGCTGGACAGCTTGTGGCCCCAGCAGAATTCTTAAGAAGTTTAACCAGAAAGATTTATACTGCAGGTGAGGACTTCTCATTGGCTGTGTCCAAAACCACCCCATATACCCTTAAACAGGGCACTGTTTGAGGGGACAGCCATGTTGTCCAACACTATAGTGGATGTTAGAGTGCACTCATTTAATCCCATCATGCACTGCAATAATGAGTGTACACCCAACGGCTAGAGAATACCCATAATTCACTATAAGGGTCGTGCCGAAATAATTCACACGTCTCGCCAGAAGATGGTGCCTGCAGAAGAATCGTCCATTCAGTTTTCTAAACCCCTGGTACAATGTGGGTACAGTGTAATATTATACAGGTATCAATTTCTTTTTAATTGATTATTAAATAGTTTAATTACATTTTATACACGCTAGATGCCATGAGTTCAAGATAAATATTTCCATTCCTACAGGAGCTGCCAGTTTGCTAAGTTTTAAATAACTATTTAACGGATAATTTTTAGATAATTATTAAACAGATACTTAATTATTTAAAGTACAAACTATGTAAAAGCGAGAGCTCAGAGTCCACATTCGCTCACTTGTTTTCATTCACTCGTTCAACTGGACTATATTAGTGGACTAATGTAGGGAACAGTGAATGAGGGTATATGGGGGCGATTTCGAACACAGCTATAGACTTCCATTAGGTAGCCACGTTATTTGTATACCTGTTCAACTGTTCGTTTATGCAAATATCAGATCAGCAAATCATATGGCAGCAACTCAATGCATTCAGGCATGTAAGCATGGTCAAGACGATCTGCTGAAGTTCAAACCGAGCATCAGAATGGGGAAAAAAGATATTTAAGTGACTTTGAATGTGGTATGGTCTACCTAGGCTAATTGGAAATACGTGCCTCTATATACATTTTTGCAAAACTGAAAAAAAAAAACGTACCTATATGTACATCACTGCCGTTTCCAGCTGAAATGAACACTAGAGGCAGTAAAACTCTTACAACTTTTATTCCTTTTCACAAAAAGTAGGATTTACAGGTACAGAGTTTTCATTAATAAAGCCTAATTTTCACACAGTTACTTGCATAATATTATGTTATGACAATTTTAACATCCTGCACGACATGAAAACTGATACTTTGGACGTTGTCGTCACATATACAGCTTCATTTGCATGAGTTTTCTAATCCAGTATGTTTGCTTGGTAGCTCACACAATACAAAGCATGAAAAAAATAGCATAAAATAGCATGGCTAAATCAACAAATGCGTTTTTATATCACTTTTGCATTTGTTAACACTATCGGGTAGGTTTAGGGTTGGGTTTGATGTAGGGGATATTTTCAACACGATAGAGCATTAACTTTTAGCGACACTCCCCAGATATACGAATTCTAAAGAGCCGCAAAACATACCTCAAGCAGCGTAATAAAAACGCAGCAATACGTGCCTGTACCAACATAATAAATGTTCCATGGTCACATATTGAACGTGTGTTTTAGTGCCACTTTCTGGACATTTCACTTTGAAACTGCTGCAAAACGTCCAGTAAGGTTCATAATTACGGTGTGGCAGAAATGTAGAGACACATTTTTTATGAGCCTGTTTTGGGTATGGTTGTTGGTGCATAATATTACAGAAACTGATGATCTACTAACATTAGACAACTAATCCTATGGGTGAAAAATACAATATAACACATTTATGGTGAGCCCTCCTCAATATATAAGATATATAAGATGGTCTTTTCAGAAGGAATGACTGTGAGAGCCAAGAAAGCAACAGAAACTTACCGTGATTGTGGGGGGAACAGATAAAGAGACCAGGTGACCCTCTCCCGACACCACTGGGGCTGCTTGTGCTCCAGCCAGCAGTAGAGACGAGCCTTCCGACTCTAAAAGACGGATGACCACATGAGATTATAGGACCAGTAAGTTAATTTTGTTGGCAGCAGAAGATATAGAAGTCCTGTTTCCTGTGATCTTATAACAGTGAGTTGAATAGAAAAAAAGCTGTAGATGTTTGTGATGAATCTATTGTAAGAAACTGAAAATAACTGTAATAAATCAAGTGTAGCTTTTCTCACCAGGTTTCCTTCATCATCTGCATTGTCATCCTCGCTGTGGAGTTCATCTAGAGAAAGCTGCGTGGTGGCTGCAGATGGAGAACTCTTGCCGTTGCTGAGGAAATTGGGCGGCCGGGCGCTGTGTATGCTGGCGGAACGATGCATGCATGGTACCTGCAGGGTGTCTGGAGGCAGATCAAACGAGCTACGTGTCTCCAAGGACTCCATGCGCCTGTGCCGAGGCCTCTGGCCCAGGGAGTCCGTCCGGGCGAGGGAGGCATCATCGCCCTCAGACAAGCCACCTCCGCCCCCGCTCTCTCCCACATCTCCCTCATCGGAGCTGGACTGGCCATCACCAGAAAGTAAGGAGCGGCGTTCGCCAGACTGGCATTTCTGCCTCTTGAGGCTGGGGGCTCGGCCCAGGCTATTCCAGCTGGAGCGCCTGCTGTTCCAGCTACTGGCTGAACTCCAGGGGGCATTTGGGGAACTCCGTGCACTCGACTGCAGAGAGACGGGTGGAATATGTTACTCTCAAATAAGATCTCATTGGCTAACTGTAAAACCTTGGTGCCAACGTTTTTGTCAAAATCACAGAAATATAGAACAAAAAAAATTGAAGCCAACTGCACCACATGTACTCATTATTTATATATTTAACATATTATAATTGTAAAAACATATTTTATATTCTGAATTCTACAATTTATATTACATTACATTACATTATATTATATTATATTATATTATATAGTGTTGGGGTAACGCATTACAAGTAACACGCATTACGTAATCTGATTATTTTTTTCTCATGTAACTAGCACAGTATGCATTACTTTTTAATTTACAAGAAAATATCTGATTTACTTTTTTCAAATAAGTAATGCCAGTTACTTTATTTTCCCATTTATTGACTGACAGCTCCTCCGTTGAACGAAATCGGGAGTAAGTGCAGAGGCGTTGTCTGCGCTGTGTACACATGATGTTACTGTAGGTTTAGACTAAATGTGAACATGCATTTACTCATCTCACTTGCAAAAAAACAGAAGCATTCAGCATTCCTCAAAATAAATAAAGATTGTGAAATGCAAACTCAGAATATGACGCAAACCTGCAATAATTAAATGTTAATTAGCACAAATATCCTTTATGTATTTAATCCCATTTTATTATCCAATGTCTTTGCTGTTGACCTTCAATGATCCAATTCAACCGTACTAAGCAAAAATTACTTTAGATAAACATAACATTTGTTTCATTTTTTATTGCTGAAGAGTGATGAACTTTCTTCGCCTGCATCCTATTCTTCATGCAATCCAGATTGGCAGCACAGCTGAAAGTTTGTTTGAGCGTGAACTCACATTTCCTTCAGCCTGAGGGAACGAAAGGTCTTTTACATTTGCCAAAAAAAAAGAACTTTTTTTATATTAAAAATAAACAAGCAAGCCCAGCACAGATGAGAAAAGTAACGCAAAATTAATGCATCACATTACTTTCAATAAAAAGTAACTAAGCAACTTGATTAGTTACTTATTAGGGAGTAACACAATATTCTAATGCATTACTATTAAAAGTAACTTTCCCCAAACACTGATTATTATATTATATTATATTATATTATATTATATTATATTATTAATAAGTGAAGTGTTCAGCACCATTCAGACATAAACAAATGAGTCCATTCATTGCAGCAGATAGCCATAGTCCTCCTGTATCATTAATATTATGATTATTGCGGCTGGTTGCTGGTTTTGATGGCATGCTTCACTAGCTACAGGGAGGATACAATGCATGCTTTGCATTAAAAAAAGAAAGAAAAAAAATATGTTTGTTACAAGTAGATAAAGATTATTAATATAATTAATTACATGATGTGTCTATTAATTAATCTAATTAATCGCAAAATAAATTTGACTGTGAAAATACCCTCAAAAGATTATTTACAGCTTATTTTTGTGTTAAATGAGAAAGTATCAAATAGACATTACAAATTGTAGCTTTAGAAATTTTACTTCATTCAACATAAAATGTATTACACATAAACATTTAGGCTACAACGGCCTAACATAAACTATGGAACATAAAAGAAG